TTTTTTGAATATATTTTGTTCAAAAAATCTGCTCAAATTCTCGCTCACGCCCCCAGTTGGTCAATGATAACAGTAACAGTAACAGTAACAGCTGATAAGGATGTTTTTTGTTTGATTGTTAACAATTTCAATTGTTAAATTTTCTTTTTCATCCTCAGAAGCACTCAAATCATTTCTAATGTAATGCGTTATATTCTCTTTCACTTTGACAGTTTTGAATTCATCTAAAGATAAAGAGTACTTATGCATTTACTGTTTTGGAAAATTTGCTAGCAGCAGAACAGCGGATTTAATGTCAGCTTTGCAAAATATGGACTCATAAAGAATGCTCACCAAGTTTACTGCAGTTTTTTGCAAAATCTGTTCTTCTTACATCATTAATAAAAAACACCATTTTTAAAAACACTTGTTATAGTGTAAGTTGCGTTGTAGTTTCAAAAAAAAAATGTTTTTAGTAAATTACAATTTCTTTATATTTATTCCAAGATTAAGATTATTTCACGTCCCTGGAAGTCCGCGCTCTACTCTACTGTAAGGTTTGTGTTTCGGAGTTGAAGAGTTGAGAGAGGGTTGGAACCATAATAAGTAGTCTCCTCGGCTATATCTTGGTTTTGGGGTGTGAAATAATTTTTTTTTTTCAATTTTGTTTTCAGAATAATTTGAAAAACTTTAGTCTTAGAAATATATTAACAAAATTAAGTTGTACTCAAATTTGCATTAACTGGTTATTATCCGAACATACCAAGAAATGTGACAACCAACCTGACACTCTGTGACAACCAACCCCGTGGTTGGGATTGGTTGTCACACAGCAGAGGTCTTTTAAAAATGATTTTAAAACAAAATATATTTAATTCAAAGTCATGAAATTATTGTAATAGTTACCGGATATAGTTAAACTATCCCTGTGCAAAGTTTGTCTTTGGTTTAATGAAAACTAAAATATAAGCAGTCTCAAACGTAAAAAGTATGACAACCAACCCCGCTCTCCCCTATACAAATCTCTATAAAATTTCTAGATTCATACTGTTTTAAATTTATATATGTTTTAGATTTTTTTTTTTTTTTCTCTGTTTACATAACATAAGAATTTTACAAATTCCACTACATAATATAAAATTTAACAAAACAAGTAAAACAGATAGGAGCTCAAAGGAGATGAGGATAACAGAACGTCATCGCAATCTTTTCATAGAACCCCTTTAACAAGATTTAATTAAAATATCGTAATATGACATACAAAATAAAAATTTCAATAAAATATCATAACAAAATGCGTAATCCGCTAATAAAATTTGTCAAGCAACAAAAGTAGAAACAAAACAAAAACGTATTTAAGAGAACTTATCCAATGCATTATTAACAAAAAATGTTTCACAGGTTTTAAAGATTTCTTTTTTTGTTAAAAACTTGGATGAACTTAATGAACTCACCGTACCTTTGAACCCTTTTTGAAAAATATTGCATACTTTTGAACCTCGATATAAAATACTGTATTCTGAATATTTATTTATTATCCTAGGCAGTTTATATGTGTTCAACATATTTGCTCTAAGATTATAGTTATCATTTTTATTTAACTCAAACTTATTATTAAAGCTTATCGGAGAGATATTGTGATTGTAACGATACATGAAAATTAAATGCTGGTAGATATTTATTTCAAACACATTCATCATTTTCATATCTTTCATCAAGGGATTAGCGTGTTCCCGCCTATTTTTAAAGTAAATGATTCTACAGGCATGTTTCTGAAAACTATAAAGTTTCTTAAGCTTTGCTTTTTGAGTACTTGCCCATGAAATGTTTGCATAGCTGATGAGGCTGTGAATTAGCCCAAAGTAGATTAATTTAAGACTATTTGTATTGAGGTACGAGCGAACTCGATACATTAAGCCTATGATTTTGGTAATTTTTGACTGGATATATATTATATGAGGAAGCCAGGATAATTTTTCATCAACAAAGATTCCCAAGAATCTTATATTGGATTGCTTTTTAATTAATTTATCATTTATTATTAAATTAAATTTATAATTAAATTTTCATAGATGACTACAAGAATCCACGTCTAACATACATTTTACCATTTTAAATGACTTTCAACTAATTTTGTACTAATTACTCATACTAACAACACATATTACTACAGTATGCATACACACATACTCTACAATGATTATATACATATGTGCAGCTATAAGAAATTAACAATAACAATTCCAAATTATCACCAACCCTCATCATACTGCAACAAATCACTGTAGTTACTTTCCTCTGGTCTCAGAGTCAATACAGAAGTCTGTGACCATCATTCTAATGGGATACTCTGAGAAAAGTCCAGTTAATGACTTTTACTTTCCTCGAATATTGTTTATTATTCTTTACTAGATTTTACTATGATTAATTTTTAGTATTTTACTTCTAATTTTTCTATTCTACAGAACTCTATTACAAATCTAGAATATGCAAAGAATTTGCTATTTTTGGTTTGTAAAAAATGGTAGAAAACGTGTTTTCTACGAGGAAGCGTTTTTTTTTTAAAAAAACCCTGGCACCAACTGAAGTTTTAAAAAATTTTAAAAAAATTTGGCATAATTATTATTTATATCATTATGCAACTTGTCCCCTTTATAACAACTTGAATTTCAAAAAAAAATGTTACACTAAGCGTTATCTCACAATGTCTCACACATTTAACATAAAGTAGCATAAAAATAAACATTTTTAATCGAATGTTTTACATTTTTTATATGTTGAAAATATTGTTTTCCATTTGGAAAACGTTAAGAAAGCATTAACTTATTGATATCAACTCCTGATTTTTCTATTAATAAACCACACCTGTAATTAACTTATTTAAATTAGAAATCATTTTATCGGCTAATATATCCATATCTTGCATTTTACAGGCTAATCCATTTCACTCGATCCATGACCAATATCACGGACAAAGAAGTACAGAATCAGCAAATAAATTGAAGCAATGTCTCACACATTTAACATATCTCACAATGTCTCACACATTTAACATATCTCACAATGTCTCACACATTTAACATATCTCACAATGTCTCACACATTTAACATATCTCACAATGTCTCACACATTTAACATATCTCACAATGTCTCACACATTTAACATATCTCACAATGTCTTACACATTTAACATATCTCACAATGTCTCACACATTTAACATAAAGTAGCATAAAAATAAACATTTTTAATCGAATGTTTTACATTTTTTATATGTTTTCCATATATCTAATAAATTCCACTTTTAGTTGTGTACCTCCCCTAAGGACATTTTATTTAAATAATTACCTTCTAAATGCCTTTTCAACGATTTTTAAACGTCCAAACGTTTTTGCGTTCAAATGTTTAGAACACGTTTAAAAGACGTTTAATACATATTTAGAGCTTTACTTTTAAAAACAAAAGCATGTTAAGTTCCAATCACTTTTAAAAAGAACCAAAAGTTCTATGCATTACATAGCTGGATGCATTTTGTGTGAAGTTGAAGATCAAGAGTCACAATTTTTTTTCTACTTTCTGCAACGTTAACTCCTTCGAAAAGCTTTAACGCAGTGAAAAAATTGCTTAGTCGGTGATTTCGGAAATTTAAAAGCTCCATTTAGGTGATTTGAATTCCTTTTTGAAAACGTAAAAAAAAAATTCGATAGAAAATGTTTGTTGGTCAATCTTTTATTAATGCAAGATAATAAAAGATTGACCAACTAAAACGGAGATTCAAAATTTAGAAAGTTTGGTGGATTCGGGATAGCTATGGGCTAGATGGACGGATGCATGTTCAATTGTAAAACATTTTGAATTCAGTTGTTTGAGCATTTTTGCTTTCGCCTTAGAATTGTTTTGAAATACAACATATAAGGTTCCATGATATTTGATTTGTGAACATGTTTTCGTAATAATTAGCATTATCTAAAGCATTTGTGATCTTTAAAAACTGTCACAGAAAAATAAAAGTCCAAGATATGCCTTCCACCAGCTCGTTATTACAGGTTTCAGTGATATCTCTGAAATTTTGTTTTTAAATAATGTGAGAAATGCTACTTACTTTTTGCTCCTTTTACAATGACTTGTGAAATGTTGTCAATGTTTATTAACTGATTATATTTCATATAATAATCTAGTTATGCTAAAAATTTATACTTTTTTGGTCCAAGTATAATTCTATCTTCGGTTTGTTTGTCAAAACTCTTGCTGTCTTTTTCTACTTATACTCAGTTTGAAAAATTGTAAAGTAAATAGTTTAGTGAGTATGCATCCATTTAGAGAATGCTTTTAGTAATAACTACATGGATGCATAATCCATGTAATGGTTACATATAAGAGGATATTAGTATATAGTATATATTAGTAATGGCTTATATTAGTAATGGCATATATTAGTTATGGCTACATATAAGAACTTTGATTACATATAAGAACAAAATTGATTAATTTAGTGGCTCTTGAGTTTTTATGAATTTTAAGAGTATCTTGAAAACTATTAGTTTAAAATTTTTTCAGATATTTATATAGATAAACTTGTAGAACAATGTAGATAAAATGTAGAACTTCTCAAAATTCTTGCAACAATAGTAGTAACAATAGTAATAACAATAAAACAATAATTTCGCTACAAGTTTTCAAAAATAACTTATTAGATGAAACTAAGGTACTAATACTTCATTCCAAAAATTTGTAAATTATTTTGTTATTCAAGGTCAACTTAATCTCGCTGCCGATATGATTTAAAAAAACTGTTAGCAGTTTGTTGAAATGCTGTTTTTCAAAATGGTTGTTATTCAAAATGCTATTCAAAATGCTGATGTATTAAAAAACTGGATTGTTATGTTTATATATTCAAACTTTTGTTATTTTCTATAGTTAAAACTAAAACCACTTTTTTAAAATATACATTTTTTTAAATTTCAAATGATAGATCAAAAAATGAAAAAAGCTTTTACCGACATTTTGCTTCTATTAAAATATTTTATGCATAAATGTGATTGTTTAGTTACTAAATTATAAACAATATTTGTAAAAGAAATTTTATATGTTTTCATAATTTTTAAGGAGAGTTTTTTTCTTTGAACAATCTTTTCTGTGATCTTTTTTACACGATTCGGTTTCATAATTTATGACATCTCTTTTATAAAAAAACTCAAAGTTTGAAACAATAACAGGTACAGGTAGAGCAATCATCAAAACTCCAACAATAGCACATAAGCTCCCGAGCAGTTTTCCAACAAAAGTTTTAGGAACTTTGTCGCCATATCCCACAGTTGTCATGGTTACTAGACTAAACCAGAAAGTATCCGGTATACTTTCAAACTGATCGTTGTGACCATGTTCCGCATAAAAGATTGCACTAGAAAATAAAATTATTCCAAGAATAAGAAAAAAGCAAAGCATTCCCAATTCGCTTAAACTTGATTTTAATGTATATCCTAAGATTCTTAGACCAAGTGAGTGCCTTGATAGTTTGAAAATTCTGAAGGCTCTTACAAGTCTAACAACACGTAACACGGAAAGCGGCGCGGTATTGAAAGCATCAAATGACAGAGTTATAAAATATGGTAAAATTGCCAGCAGATCGATAAAGTTTAAAATTGATTTTAAAAACATCCATGGGCATGGTGAAGATATGAGTCTTATTACATATTCAAAGCTGAACCACACAATGCAACTTAACTCAAAAGTAAACCAAGGTTCCCGAAACCGATTTTCATTAGTCATGATTACTTTGTGATTTGTTTTGTTAGAGTGCATAGAAAACGCAGGTAACGTTTCTATGCAAAAAACACAAATTGATAACGTTATAACAAATACCGACCAAAAAGAAAGAATTTTTGCAGCTAAACTTGTCTCTGGGTGTTCAAACAGGTTCCACAACACTTTTTGCCATTCTCGTTTTGGTTCAATTGGTTTTCTATCAGTTATGTATCCTTCATCCTCTTTAAGTTTAAAAAATACTTCTTCTCCTAGCTCAAAAAATGAAACATCTTTTGCAAACAACGCCATTGGAATATTTTGAGGACGGATTAAGACACCGTCACTTTGATAATAGAATAAGATTGCCTCAAAGGCATCTCGATTGCGATCAAAAAAATAGATGTCGCGCGATCTAATATAGTGTTTCTCTCGCCTAGTTCTATCACCTAAAAGCGTGTTTGGAAATCTCATTAATGTATATTCATACGTCTCAAAAAACATACCACACACATTGATTCTTATAATTTCTGGTTCATGAATATATGAAGATGAGTTTATTGGATTCATGATTAAATTTGAAATATTGTGCGTTAGGTTTTCTTCATCGGTCAACTCTTGTTTATTTGAAATGCATTGAATATTTGCCGTCATCTTTTTTGAAGTTGAACGACTGAGCAAGCTAGATGATCTAAAAAAATGCATAAGTCATACTGTAATAAGTTAAGTTTAAAATGTGTTTAAAGTTTATTGATGATAACCTAACATTTATCGCATATCACTTAATTTAATAAAATGTTTGTTTTGTGAAAAAATTATTGATTTGAATAAAAATTATTTCATGTATTCTTTAAAGTTTTAAAGAAAAAATTCTAAAGGTTTGCGATATTTTGACATTTGAGACAAAAAGACTCAACAAATTTTATTCTAATATTGCCATCGACAACTTTTATGACCAAAATATTTTGAATAATGTTGAAAAATTATAAACTTTAAATTAATTCAAGAAGTTAAGAACTTTTATATTTTATTTTTGTTTATTTACTATATATACTTTTCATTTTGCACCTTAAATGTTTGTCAACTTTTAAAAGGAAATTAAACTTCAATTAAAGGAAATTAAACTTCAATTTTCGCTTCAGTTTATAATTTGTAAAAAACTAATGACTGTTATTAATGTGATAAATTAAACAATATCACGGATTTAGTAAAAACAAAAAAACTCAGATTTATTAATAATTTATTCAAGTTTTACAAGTCTTATTTAACCCTATTTATTTGTATTAATTTATCGAAAAATAAAACAAAAAAGATTTTTCTTTCAAGAAAATGACGCCGCAATAAACATATATTTAGTAGCACGATAGAAACGATAATCTCGATTATCGTTATTTATCAACGATTATTTAATAGCTTGAAGATGTTACAAAAGTTAATAGTCACTAAAACTACGTAAACGTACGATAGGATGTTGGTTCTAAATATTGTTGGGTTTATAATATTCTTTCAAAAAAAAATTATTTGTATATTTTTCATAATACTCCCTCTTCACATTTGCGTAATTAACTTACATAGGTCATAAATTGCACTTGTTCGAAGGTAGATACATTTGAACAACTAAAAGAAAACCCTTATGACTCTAACCAAATATGAAAGTATCATTCTACTTAACATGCATTAGGCAGCTTGAATGAATCACCTTTGTATTAACGGTTACATTAACGTTCTTTAGAGTTTAGCTTAAAAAAATTTACATAAAAATCTATTAACGTCAATTATGTAGCATAAACATTCTATAAAAAAAAAACGTAGCTTAGCAACGCGGCAATAATAATTTAAGAGAACAAAAAACTTTTTAATAGTGTTTGTTCGATTGTGTTTTTGGAGGCCATCCTCAGGGAATATAAACAAATTTAATAATAAAAAAAAACAAAACAAATGTTATAAATGAAAATTAAAGAACAGAAGATTTTTCAGAAAAATGAAATTAAAGTAACAATAAACTTTCAGAAATTATTCGATATTAGAGCAGATGATTTAAAGGTGAAAATCATTAAAAAAAAGAAAGAAAATAATTTTTATAACAGGTGGAAATAATAAAAATGTTAAAATTAAAGAAAAGATTTGAAACAATTAAAACAATTTTATTTGTTTAAATGGATTTTTCTCTTTGAAACGTTTTATCTATTCAAATAATTTCTTTATTTGAAGCAAGAAGAGTATAAAACTTTTTTTTTTGTTACTCTTTGTTTTAACGTAAATCAATTATTAGCCAACCTACTAGGTATATCATTAGTCAATGTATGAAAAATTACAAAACTTTATTAAACAAGGATTTATAATAATAAAATGCATAACAAAGACTCCACGATTTTTTTTTTTTTTTTTAATGTTGTTATTTGTTATTTTATCATTTGTTTGTATTTTTATAGCTTTTATAGTATTTTATTTGTTATTTTTTTTGAACATTTTGTGTAAGGGCATTTTGTTCAAACAAGTTTTTATTGATCTTTTGCAATAAAAATACTTAATAATAGTTGTGTTTATTATCAAATTTACGTTCAAAAATTAACAAAACTTTTAAAATACTGATAAATTGGCTACTTTTGGGTTGTCTGTTTTTTTTTTTTTGAGATGCTAATTTTTCTTTCCCACTCCTTTAATTTCACTCCTTTCTTCATCCTTCTTCTTCTGCTCTCTCCTTCCACCCTTCATCCTCCCTCCTCTTCTCTCTCCTTCTAACATCCCTCCTCTCTTTTTCCCGGTCTTATTATACAAACTTCTCTCATACAAACAACTTATACCAAGTGATTTCAAGTGATTTGATATTTTATTATAGAATAAAACTAACAAAACAAAAACAAAAATAAAAAAACAAAAAAATCAACTAAAAACAAATTACCAAGTTAAAAGAAAAAAAAGTTCGAAAAATGTTCGACATAATAATAAAAAGACTAAAAATAAATCTCTGCCAATTTTTCTACGCCTTTCTTTTTTTGCCAAAAATAAGAAAATATTATTATTATTTATTTTAATTTATTTTATTTTGTAGAAGTTTTTGTGATTGTCTTTTTAATTTGTAGTTTTTTGTGTTTTGCTTTTTCGTTTGCGTAAAGTTTGTTATTTACTGTTGTTGCTAATTATTTTAATAGTTTTTTGCTGTTATTATTAATTGAGTTTTTTATATTTTTTTGTCTTATTATTTAATTTATTATAGCTATGTAACCGTTATTACTATTTTTTTTTTTTAATAATCTAGTATATGCATGCTTTTATTTATTATTATTCTAATTTTTTTGTTTGTTTGTTTATCTTATTAAGGTTTACTTCAATGACTAGTTTTTAACTATATGAGTGACACCTAACCTAATTTTGTAAAATTTTATAAAAATTTGCAATTTTTCAATTTTTTGTTGAATAAATGGATAAAAAAATAAAATAAAAAATCTAACAGTAACGTAAATCAGTTGCTTTCAGTTAAATTATGTGACGTAACAAATCAATCAAATTAAATATATTTTGAATAAAAATCGAGGATATTTAGAAATAGTAATTAGTACTAATAAAAAGTAAACACCTGTCAACTTCAATAATAATGAAAATAGGGATAATAATATTAGTTATAATAGAAGTAGAAATAATAGTAGCGATTATAAAAAGTATATACTGTACTGTAACATTAACAATAACAGTAACAATAGCAATAATAACAAAAATATTAATAATAATATTTATTATGATAGAAGTATAGTAATAATAACAATAATAGTGATGAAGAGAATAATTATTAAAATATTTCAGTTTAAGAAAAAATAAATTGACAAATTTAATAAAATTTAAATTAGTATTATAACACAACAGAAATAAGAAAAATATTAGATAAATAAAAATAAGAAAAGTAGATAAATAAAAGTTTTCTTTAAAAAATTCTTAAATAATTAAATAGGTTCTCTAAAGCAAACTTTAAATATAGAGAATGATTTATATGATTTTAGTTAAAAATGGAGATTGTTCCTTGTTTTTATGCTTTTTTATTGTATGAAAACTTAAAATTTTGAGCAGAATATAGTTTTTGAGCAAAATATTTTTTTTTTTTGTTTTTCATGAATTTGGTTCCAGGCAATTAGGCAGTTTAATAGTTAAATAAAATCACACAATTTAAGGACTTTAAATAAAAAAAGAGTATGCTACAGTTCAAATTAGTATGTTGGTAATAAATCAATTTTAGGGCTTTATTTTGGAGATCTTGAAAAAAGCTTCTGGAAAAATATTATTTTTGAAAGAATTACCCATCATAGTACATAGAGGTTTGGAGACGAGAGTTATGGAGAGTATGTGAAATACTATAGTTTATAAAAGTTCAGAGAGTATGTGAGGTAACAGCTTTAGAAGAAGAGTTAGTAGACAGCTTTAGAAGAAAAGTTAAATAGACCAAGGCTTATATTATTTTTAAGAGCACCTTTAATGAGATTGGATACTTTTTTTTCAGTCACGGGATCAATAAAGAACGAATAAGTTAGTATTTTCTTATAAGTATTTTCCAAAAACATGTTGAACAAGTTTTTTTTAATTAGTTTGTCTTGAAAAGGTTGCAAAATAGTTATTTTACATATTAGCAGCACTGGTATGGTTTGAGATGACATCAGCAACACTGGTATGATTTGAGATGACATCAGCAACACTTGATTTGATATTTTCATTAATTTTAAGACTAAAAGAAGATTTGTAGACTAGTAGAAGATTTGATATTTATAATTTTTTTAAAATTCCTTTCCAAGTATTATTTACATTATTGATGTTTAAAAAAAGATGTGCTGTATAATTTTTTACAATATCTTAACAAATTGCTAACTTCAGTATTTTTATAATATCTTAACTTAAATTTTATTTCAGCATAACTTAAATTTAATAAATAATAGATTTTTGGTATTCACATTTGTTGGTCAAATTTTTTATGTTTTTAACAGCAATTTGTTCAAGAATACCAGAAGTTATCCAGGGTTTTGATTAAAGTTTGGTATTAACTTTTTGGAAGCATACCGGTCTAATACTTTTTCAAATGTTTTAAGGAAAAAATTTATTGATATATTTGTGTTTTCATCTTCTTTTATGTGAACTTGTTAGTTAATTTCAAAAATTTCTCGGACAAAAGAATTGGAATCAATTTTTTTAAAGCTTCTTTCAAATGTTTTAATTTTTTTTAATGGGTGGGTTATTATGAATACAGAAAAATGGTGCTGCATGGAGAGATATTGAAATTGTAAGAATATCAAGGTGCCAGGAGGAAATGAATTCATGAAAATGTTGTCAATAAAGGTTTTGGTTTTTGCAGTTACACGTATTAAAATTATTTTTTATACCATGATTATTTTAGTAAAGTTTTATTAAAATAATTACGGTAAAGATTGGAAGCACAAACATTTGAAACAATTAAAAACTTGTGGATCTCTGACAGATGATTAACAAGAATACACTAAATCTAATTATAGAATAAAAATTTTCAATTGGCAAAGTTCTGGAGCGCATGCAAGATTATTTTCCTTTTCAACGAAAATTACATTTTTCTCCCAGAGAAACTAAGCAACCAATTTTGCATAATGAAATAATGCAAGATCCTGCCAAAATACATAATTAACATCTGCATAATACTATTGAATAAATGAAAACAGCCATTTGAAAATGTATTCGCGTATATAAACTTCTTGATTTACACCAGACCAGGTGGAACAAGAAAATAATAAGAAATTTCGCAAGCAGAAATTACCAACCAAACAAGAACTTTTTTCTCAAATTTCGATTTCTTTTTGTTTTTCACATTTTAGTGAACATTAGTGAAAGCGCTAGACCAAAAAGTAGCATTAGCATTTTTGTTTGAATGAAAAAAAGTAAAATAGGATTCGTCATCCAAAATGAAACCGCAAAATTTTCTGCACATACAAACGCAACAAGGTTGCAGTTGACTGATTTTCCGACTGATCAGTAATCTGCTGCTTTTTGAGCTAATCAATATGATAGTTTTAACAATGTGATACCGATGGTAGTCTGGTCGCCAATTTACAAGTCGAAATCTCCGATCAACCATTAATGCACTTTTTCAGACGTTCAATGTTTTTATTCATAATTTTGGCTTTTTGACATTGTCCTGAGCGACGACAATGACAAACCACTTTCTCACATTTAAATATGTTGATGAACCTAGATGCGATAAGCAGTACTTTTTTTTGATCCACGTACCTCTTGGTTCTAAGCCAGAACTCTAATCACTGCACCACGACTGCTTGCACACACTCCTAATCAAACTCATTTATTCTACTTTTAATATCTAAAATAAAAATACAAAACAGTGAGATCCTCAAAGAGAATATAAGATGCTCAAAGAGAATATGAGATCCTCGGACCATGCAAGCCGCATAAAAAAGATACCAGTTCTAAGGTTATGAGCTGTCTCACTTAGTTTTGTTAACTAGTGATCTCCAGTTATAATTCAATAAATCTATGTTGAAATCGCCCATTCGTACAATGTTTTTGTTTTATTACTTAACTTTTCAAGGAGAGGGTTAAAAAGAGATAGATGAAAATTCAGTGATGTTTAAAGAGAAATGTCGATATATACATCCAAAAATGGTATTAATTCAACAAAAACAGACTTCAGAAATATTTTTTTTATTAATTATTTTAGGTGCCCCAAGAAGTCCTTACAGTCTTATCACATAGCACCGCGAAAGAGCATTTGAAAG